TCATATTTCAAATTTGAAAGTAAATCGTAAGTAAACTGAAAATAACTTTATCCTCACATATTTTAAAGATTCTCTAATAGGTGCCGACAGATTTTTATAGTTATAAAGGCTCCCACAAGTGAGCATAAATATTGATAGATAATTATGATTATTGACATTGCAGTACAAAGTCGGATTCATGTTGTGAATGGAGGGTTTTACGTCGTAAAACATTTATAGCCGAAATATAGCAAAAGTGTTTTATGGCAGCCATCGTGGCTTGGCACATTTGAAGGGATGGATTCGATCACATTTTCCAAACCAACGTGAGAAAGAGTGTACTTTCCAAAATCGGCATACCTTGGCAGCCTATAATGAAACTCAAAATGTTTTCTGAAATGAAGAAACTTTTCTTAAAATGCATTAGTCGTAAATTTATATAAATATCATGATTATGTTATATTGTTTGGAATTTAGCGTCATTTCTTGTTTTTACATAATCGTCAACTGGATAAGAACGGCTTTTAACTATACGAGGTTTGTTTAAGAAATAACGCCAGTTTTCAAATTAAAATTTCGCGGGCTTGGGAGAATGTCGGATGTCCGTCCGTGTAAGTTGTAAATTGAGTAAAAATTTAGATATCTTAAGGAAACTTGTTACACATGTGTCTTGGCACCAACACAACATTTTAGCACTTCTTCATACGCTGTGAAACTGAGTACCAGTAGTACCGGTATGAAGTGAGCTTTAAGATATAATATAATACAAATGTGTTGGTAGGGAACATTTGTTGTGTACGAGCCGTAACTTTTTTTTCTGTTTGGTTGGCATGACATCCGTGAAACATATTCAATAACCTTACAGTAATTTAACAAACAACATCATATTTTTTTATTGTGTTGAAAATGTCAAATTTTTTACCGGAAAGCGATGATTAGCGGAAAGCATTAATTTTTTGTTTCCATTTGTATCGAATGCTTGTCGAGGCATATGCAGATCATGCTCTATCACAAGCAACATGCAAAAGATTTTTTTAACGGTTCAAAGATAATGATTTTGATGTGAGAAATGAAGAACGCGGAAGACTACCAAAAACTACCACTAAAAGTGTGAAGACGCTGAACGGCAAGCAATATTAAATGAATATGATACTTTGAGTCAAAAGCAAATGGCCGCCATATTCAATGTTGCACAACAAACAATTTGAGAGCGTTTGAAAGCTATGGGAAAGATCCAAAAATGTGGAATATGGATGCCACATGAAATGAATGAAAGACAAATGGAAAACCGAAAAAACACTTGTGAAATTTTGCTTCAAAGACACGAAAGAAAATCAGTTTTGCATCGAATTTTCACTGGCGATGAAAAATGGATTTATTTTTAGGATCATAAATGGGAAAAATCATGGATTAATCCGGAACAACCATCAACATCGACGGCAAAAAAAGATCGATTCGGTAAATAGTAAATGCTCTGTATTTTGTGGGATCAGAAAGGTAACCAATTTCAACCAAAATTAGTGTGTGAAGTAATTTAAATACTCAAATTATACACTATGAAAGTGGGTGAAATCGAAAGACAACTACACCTACTTCCCATAAAAAAAACGTTTACGTTCCATTTGATTCTTTCACTTTACTTTATCGGTCAATCTGTAAGGTCTTATTTTTAAATCTAGGGAGAATATTTATATAACGACAGCATGTCCTTGTATCTAAATTGAGTAAAATCCGATCAATAGTTTTCGTTGACTCCATATACGTAATATAAATATTTTCAAACTTTAGGTTAACTTTATACCGCATCTATCGGTCAATATGTAATAAATGTTAATGAAATTCAGAGATAACCTTTCTCCAATAACAGTGTATTTGCCTTAAATAAATGAAATCAAGGCAATATTTCACTTAGTTAAACATAAAGTTTTACCAAAGTTTTACCAACACCTAAGCACCTTCAAATATTGGTAAAACCGTCTTTTTTGGTTACACCCGAACTTTTTTACTTGTTATTATACTATTGCAACATGTTGCTACAGAACAAAATAGTTTTGTTCACCCAAAGGTTGTACTTACCACCTAAAAATAATAGAGATAGATACATATAGGGTTCAATATATAATATATAAACGATCAGGATGATGAGACGAGTTGCAATCCTAATGACTGTCAAGGAGCTGTAACTTGAGTAAAAATTGAGATATCGTAATGAAATTTTTTCCACGTGTTCCTTTACAAAACGGAAGGATGTTTCGTAGATGGACGTAATCGGACCACTGCCACGCCCACAAAATACCATTAATCGAATACATATAAAATGTCATAACTAAGCACTAAATTATGATATAAAAAAGTTAAGAACAGGGGATTGCAGTAGCATGTGGCACTTGTAGGCTAAAATTTTTGGAAAAATAAGCGTGGCCCCGTTCTTTAATCGCTTTAATCTGCATATATTCTAAACCACTAAAGCTACAATAACCAAATTTACTTATGACAAATCCTATAAGAACCTAGGTGGCTAACACTGTGTAAATCGATGAAATCGGATTATAGCCCCGCCTCCTTTCCATATAGCGGGATTGTTTAAAACAACAAAAAGCGCGATATATCAATAACTATATACGCTAAACCATATACCTAAATCATACGGTCCTATGTTACGTTATGAAAATGGGCGTAATCGGACTACAACCCCGCCTTATTCCCATATAGCACAATTTTAAACTCCATATGAATCTTTAACTTTCTATTGTACAAATTAAGCACCAATGAATATATTCAGATGCGATTTGCACTGATAGTACCTTTGAGGTATGCCATCTCGAGTCTAAAAATTGTCAATACCGAATTTGTGGACCCCAGTACTAATGGCTGACCTTTTGCTGAAAATATCAGTTAATCTGTCAATCTGTGACATATATTATCAAAACTCGAGAAAAATGCTTTTTTGATAATAATATACCCTTGTGCAAAAATTTGTTGAATCGGGTGAATACCACCCTCAGGCCCAATATACCTAATATAAAGAATTTCGAAGTTCTAGTTGACTTTATACCACATATGTCGGCCAATGTGGGAGTTATTTTAATGTAATTGAGAGAGCGTGTTTTTTAATAACAGTGTATCTTTGTGCCTAAAATGGATAAAATCGGGTGAAAACTTTAACAACTGAAGGTATTTAACAGCTTTGGTCCTTGCTAGTTGCTAGAGTATAAAATGTTCGTTTACACCCGAACTTAGCCCTTCATTACTTGTTTTATTCATAGCTTACTTTGTCTGTAGCAGCCGCTAAGGTTGAGAAGTGTTTCAACGATTGAGACAAGCGCTGGCATAAGTGCGCAATATCGTTGGATACTATTTTGAATGCGATAACATTAATGTAGACAAATGAATACATATTAAAAAAAAAATCCATCTTAAAATCCGTTATCGATGCTGTAACAACTAACTTATTTAATATTAATTTATTTATCCACCAAGTTGTTATAACATATTCTACATCACATCTGAGTCGCTGAAGTGGTCTAGTTCAATGAGATACTAAAAAATCTCGCAACGATTTGCCTCAAGAACCAATGGATGCCAGAATAATAAATCAACGAGTGCAACTGCAATTGGACGCTTACGTCAAAAATGGCTGCAATAAATCTCTCAATCGACAGTAAAAAGATAAAGAATTATGAAATATAAGCGGATAATATAGCAGTGCATTTAGTAAATATATCTATTAAGGGAAACTCCATAACTGGAAGTACCGCACAATTGAAAATAACACTAAGTACTGTTCAACACTGAAACTACAATCTTCATGTGACACAGAAACATTACTGTTTTTTTATCGAACAGTAGTTTAACATTTAAAAGCTTTAAATATTTATTTTTAAATAATTACATAAATATACTTGTACATACAGATATATTTTTTGGTATTTTAAATACAACAATTGTAGCACAACACACGTCAAAATATTTTTATGCGTATTTAAACACATATATAATATTAACTAATACATATGTATATTTTTCATAATAAGATAGTCTTACCAATATTTTTAAGTGACTTGTAATTACTTATACTTGACTACATTTAACTACGTAAGCCACAAACACATATTTACACAGTACAGTATTTGAATATATAACATCGTATATGCATCTTTACTTAAATTAAATTTATTTTTTAAAAATAAATCTGAGATCCAGTTGCATTACTAGCAATGTTGCTGAGATATGCTACAAAAAATGTTTATCTTAAATTGTATAATTTCCCTAAACTTGTTTCAAATATTGCTCTTTCTTGAATGCTACTTCAATTTAATTATTTTTTTTTCTTAAACAGTTAACCGTTTTTACTCTATGCAAAGCAGAAATCCCTAATTTTCGGTTGTAAGATTACAATATGTGCCTTCCAATGGCTTCAAGCTTACAAATAATGAGCATTATTACGAGTGTAAATATCAAAAGTGTATATAAAAAGGAATATATTTTGCTTATCTAGAAAATTACAAAGTAAATAAATATTGTTAATAAAATAAAAATGTTTATTTTGACTTTGAAGTTTAAGAGTCATAACCTTTGTGATTATTACACATGAAAGTAATTTAAGTACATATTGGCTTAATTGTACCATCTAATGTAAAATATAAACCAAATAATGTCACACAAATTATATTTTAAACAACTTCCTGAAGCTTATTATGCTTAATTTTTTTTTAGTTGTACCTAAATATGTAAACTTCATGTCGAAAAATTAATCATAAGTAATCATCTTAAGTAAACGACTTCTTTAAATTTAGTACGTAAAGTTTGCAATATCGAAATAAGATTATTTTTAAATCAGAAATTTAGAAATTTCAATTGAAAAATGCTCAGATATACAAATGAAGATTATCATTATCAGTATTTGTCAAGATATAATTTATATTAACATATACTGGTTTCTTATAATAATTTATAAGTGGTTACTTTCCACAAAAAAAAAAAATTTCAATTAAAAAAAATTGTTACATATATTTTTTTAACTTTTATACATTTTAGCTTCAATTTTCCACATTAATTTTTGAGTGCCTACATTTATCATAATTACAACAATCATTTTTTATAACTCTTTTCATTCTTTACATCGATTCAAATTATAATATTTTTTATTTTTAGTGTTTAATTATTTTTGTATCTTTTTTGATTTTGTTTGTTACTGAAGCGTTACGCGTTTATACTTTTGTCCTTTCACAATAATAAATTCTGTTGTATGATTATTTTTTATTGTCATACATTTATTGTAATTTGTTGCTTTAGCTGTGATTTTCTTAACTTTAGTTTCAATAAATATAAATTAGACGTTTATAATTACTCTTATAATTTGCTTCAAACTGCTATATATTTATTTATTTTATATATGTACGAGTATTTTATATTTTTTATATTTTCAAACGTTTTCTTTGAACAAAAAATAATAAATTCTAGCCACTTTCAAAGTCCACATATAAGCTATAATATAGATAATATCATTTTTCTTTTTTCTAAGTCCTGCAGATAATTGATATTTACAAAGTCCACATATACATATAATATATGTATACCATATAATAATATTGTTATAATTATCATTTCCTTTATTTTTTAATATTTTTTTTTTCAAATTTTATTTTAAAGATATACCATATTTTTTTTCAAACAATATAATTTTCTTTTAATCTAATTTCTTATTTCGATTATGAATACCAAACTTAAGTTAAATACCATGTTGATTTTTGAAAAGCCCACATATTTATCTTTCTTTTTTAAGGAATCTACAATATTATAATTATGTGCTTAGTATTATATTTTTGTTTTATATTAAGTAAATAATATATTTTGCTTTGACTCTTTAACCAATATAATAGGTGCCACATTTTTTCAAAGTCTACATATTTCTTTTTCATATTTTTCTATCAATCTATCATAGAGCTTTATATCATGTGTATTTATTTATGCAAGCAGAGAAGCATACAGTTAATTTATATTATATTATTTATCCGATAACATTATAATATATAAATAACACATTAATTATACACGCAGTTTTCTTAACATGCTTTACTTCCCATACTTTTTCATTTAATTATGCCTTTAATATATTTCATTAATGAGCTATATCTATGTATATATGTACATATGTATATCCATATATATACTAACTAACCAAGCGAACTTTGTAATGCCTAAGAACGAAATGATTTAGACCAATTGATTTTTTATGTGTAAACATTTTTTTGTTTACATTTCCCTCGAGGATTTTAAATGTTTTCCAAATAACAGATTATATCTTACTAGCTAAGTTTTGTATGTAACTTTTACCGATATTTTAATAGTTTTTCTGATACTCGGTGCAGAGACATATTCAGCATCGCGATCATCAAAATGGGAATTGATTTATAAATGTTGTAACAAGCCCGCCTTATAGATATATCTACGATACCTCTATAATCATTAATCATTCATATTCCAATCAGTTTCATTCCCAGAAATTGATATAATATATATATATAATATATTTTGCCCTCATATTTTGGGAAAACTACTGATAAATAGTTTACGATGCAGCTCTTACATGTACATTTAAGAATAGATTTTAGTTGTCTTCTGTTTCTTCGTTAATCAGGTTAGTATAGTGGTAAAATATTTATATTTGCCCTATCAAAGGAGTAGTGGAAGTTGACAAAGGTTTGTGCAGTTATTGTAAACGTTTTTCTAACTCGTTTCTCTTTTTTAAGTTTTTGATTAGTTTCGAATTATTTTGAAATAATCTCTCTCAGTAGTAAACTGAATGCTAACAGTTACTAAGTTCAAGTAGTGGATTCAGTTTTAATTTAATATATTTTTTTATAATCTTGACTAACTCAAAAATTTTCTTTTGCATCGCAGCATTAAACTAAGAAACAACAAGCTAAGATATCATAGTTTCAAAACTTGACCCTTCTTTTAGCGATATTTTTTATTCAACTCTAAGTAAGTTTATATATTAAGCTATTAATTTACATTTATCTATAGTATTGATACATACTTTAGTTATGATCTATAAAAAAGCCTCACATAATATATGTATATACATACAAAACATTCAAAATCACGAAATGTCAAATTATATGAAAATTCAAAGATCTTTTGGTCACTTCTAAATTGTAGCAAATATAAAATCAAGCTGAAGAAAAAAAATCAATAAGTTTACATTTGTTGTAAAATATTAAAATATCACACATAAAGCTAACTATTAATTGTTAAGTAAATAATTAACAGCTAAGTGATAAAAAGTGATTAATTCGTAATTAAGAGTGTGATGGGTTTTATATTTATGTAATAATAATTATATGATGACTCAGTAGTAATAGTAGTTTCAAGCACACTAGGTCTCTGGTCGTAGACGCAATGTTATAAAGAATATTCTGTTCGAGTATTTTTCCTCAAAAGAAAGTTAGTTTTAAATAAATTTCAGAATATTTTATTTTCAGAAAAGTATTGAAAAAAAAATATATTATTAAAAAATTTAAAATTTATTTACTGCATTTAAAACTCAAAGTTGATTCAGTTTAATGAAGACACAATCTGACATTGATCTAAGCTAAGTTAAAACTTCAAAAAATACGTAAAGTATTTAATTATGGTAAATTAATATTAGAAAACCAAACTAAACAAAAAAAAAATATTTAAATTTACTAAAATTAAAACTCAAAGTTGATATAACACAATATATTGCTCGTGTGAGACTCATCTAAGCTAAGTTTTAATATTTTTATCATTTTTAATTATAGACTTCAAAAAATTTCGAAAATGTAGCAATTTCACTGAGATTAAAAAACAGGTGAAAAAAATTAAAAAATTTAAAGAAATATTAAAATTAAAACTTAGTTACTTTTTCGGGTAATGTTTGCTAAGCCAAGCGAAATATCTACTCAATGACTTTCTGAAATATTTAACCGAATGCCGATAAAAACGTACCAAATATGCTATAATTTTAAGTACCGATTATAGTATTATAAAGCTTAGAACCGAAATAAAGCTCGAACATCAAAATTGCAACCAAAACTATTTTATGTCAAGCAATCGCTTGCATTATCCTTTTACCATGCAAATAAGAAACTCTGTATTTATGCTTTTATTCATTTATATATTCTCTGTGTATATATGTATATATATAAAATATCTTTGCGCTCTTATAACATAACAAAAATTAAATTCTACATACCTACAAAATAGTTACATTTATAAAATATTTAATAAAATACAAAATAAAAACGCACACAATTCGTAAAAACAAATATTTCACAATAATACAAAATAAAGGCTTTACATACTAAGACACATCAAAATATGTAAAAACAAAAACAAATGGACAAACAAAAAGTAATGGAATAATAATAATAATAATACATTTAGAGAAATAATACAATATACATATTTTGATGCACATATTTGTGTGCGTGCTTGTGTGTGTGATTTGCATTTGTGTGTTTGTGTGAGTATGTGAATTCGCTTAAATACTAACGTTTGCTTTTTGGTCCAATACAGTTGCAGTGTTACACAAATAAAATAAATAAGAAAATACGTACATACAAGGTGAGTGGGTAGGGTGAGGGGTGTAGAGGGTGGTGGTGGTGGTAATTGCATGTGCGGTGAATTATACAAAAATATATGCATTTTTTTTCGATAATCAATAAAAAAAGGACAACAACAATTTTGAGTTACATTAAGTTTTAAAAAAAAATTTTTACATCTTCTATTAGCAATATCAAACACAACATCAAAATATTAGGATAAATATGTAAATAAAAAAACATTCAGAATTATGTTAAACAGTATTTAAGAGATATTTAAATAAAAAACAAAAGAGTAAACTTTCAGGCGGCATGTCAATTTATGTTAACAAGAGGCGCGGCACAACTACACAAGTGCTGGCCACGGCTGCCGACATGACCGCTCTACGTTGCCTGCATACGTCCATTACGTGGGTACGTATGCACAATTCTTCTAAATATATGTTAGGGTAAGTGTTTGAGTTGGGTTTCACATGCATGGGTTACACGCACACACCTCATAACAATCTCAATGTGTGTGTGTGCAAGAGAGCTTAGTGTTTGAATGATTTAGAGAGATTTACTTAGAATGGACGCCTTAACTTGGCAATGGCATTTGTCAAATGGAGGATTTCCGTGTTCATTTGCTGTACCAGTGTATCCAATTTGTCGACGGAGTCCAAAATTTCGACGCGTTCGGTGTGTGGGTTGAAGCGCACCTCGAATGGACGCGACATGGTCGACACCCAACGACGGAATTTATCTTTGGCATCTTCAAAACTCTCGGCAACATAGTAGATGGGCTGGTATTCTTGATCCTGGTAGGGTTGCACGGCAGTGGAGGCTGGTTCGAAAGCGCGATGTTCGCACTTGTCGCTGATGGCATGCAAGAGTTCGCCGTATGACGAGAGCAAACCAGCGCCGTAGGCTTTCACCTGACCGTGTTCCTTGCAGAGACCGAACTCAACGGTAAACCAGTAGACCTAAAGATCAGAGAAGATAGAGAACAAATAAGTGATTAGTTGTATTTCTATATGTATATATATTCTAAATATATAAATATTGGGGGGTGTGAAAATCTTTTATGAAAATGGAAAACTTGACACTGACAATTGGCGCTTGGCCTTTGACGGTGCAACAATGGTTGGAGCGCGTCTACGCCAATGGCACAGGGCCGCTCTCAGCGTCGGCCAGCGTATATGTGCGGCGCGTTTTGACCTCAATCTTTGGTGACTGTCAAGCGCGCGCCAGTCATAGTTTCGGTTTAGCATTGAACAAATATTTTAAAGTAAACTTGTTGCTTAGAGACATGGGTATATATAATATATGTTGCTATGAAATTTTGGCCGCGTATTTACATTTTTCTGCTTGCTCTTTGCATGCATAACATTTTTAACGCTCATTAGAATTTTTGGCTGCCAAAGTGGCCATTTTGAGTATTTGCATGTTTATCTATCGGCGTTTGCTAAATGCCAAAGTAAAAAGCATGCGTTTAAATACCGCACAGGCGCAAGGCCAATGGTAACAACGTCAGCGCGTTGCACATTCGAGTCAAGATTAAGACAACTGACTACAAATAATTACAGCAATGCACTTGCCCTCACGCCGCCTAGCGCTTTTGTATGTGTGTCTAAGTGTCCATTGCCGCTATTGTGCTGCCAAGCGCACGAACTTGAATTAAGCAGTCATCAAGTTTTTTTTGTGATATTTGATAGCGTAAGCACTTCAACTTGGCTGAGAAAACTCGCTCGAGGTGGCGCGTTCTTGCACTCATGCCAGTTTTGGTGCATTGTCTGGGGCAGTGTTGGCGTTGTAAACCCACCGAGCGCGCGCGCTAGTTAGTAAAATGCTAGTACGCTAGTAGCACTGTAACAAACCCTGTTTCAAGTTTACAGCTGGGGTGGCAGTTATGGCTAAATGGGCGCGCGCGCACTTCTCAACCGCTAGCCAACAGTCAGCAGCCTTCATAGCTACTAAAATATCTAAATTGGCAATTAAAGCGAGCATTTAGACAAATTAAACTGCAAATGTACATTTGTAACCTGTGCACATAACTAGCTCATTTATGCATATTTGCGGGTTTGCTTAGTTAGTGGTCAGTTGACTTTTACAATCAAATTTGTTTAGAAAACTGATATTTGCGATATCGAATTCGGTTAGGCGAAACATTCGCGTCAAGGCTACTAATCGAGATAATGCTAATAAGCCCACTGCTTGGCTAAGCGTTTTAATTGCTTGGTGTGTTTTTTATATCAATTGATTCAATATTGTCATACTTACAGTGGATAGCTTTTCGATTTCATCATCGGAGGCACCCAACGAAGCCAAACCAATCTCTTGTGAGAATTGTGCGAAACTGGGATCAGCTAAGAGTGGCATGTGACCAAGCAATTCGTGAATGCAATCGCTGTAAATAAGAAGAGAGGAAAAAAGAAAAATAAATTAGTTAATTTGTGTAGAACTAGTGAAATAAACTGGTACTAGATTCAGGTGTTAAACTCAGAGAGTCCTAAGAGTATGTTAAAACTAAAATCCTCAGCACAGTTCTAGGCGCTTTCCCTTTGTTTCTTATTTCTATTGCAACAACACAGCATTATCTTTTAATTTTCAGTTTAAATAACTCATTTTTAATTCAATCAAATTATTGAAAATAGCTTTTATCACACTTTTTCATTTCTCGTAGGCAGCAAGCAGCCACTGAAGCTCGATGTTGGTCATTTGCTGTAACCTTACTACTTGTCTGCTTGAATACTGTTATTATGCTAAACTAATTACCCGTCGGTAATGGAATTGTCCTGCTCTTAAATAGCGCCGAAGTGCTAAAGTGCCGACAATTTGCAAAAATTTCATTTTCATCACTAAAACTGCTGCCCTAACCTCACTTTCGTTTCACTTCTACGCAGCCCCCAACTCATCAGCATCAGCAACGACAGCAGCACAAAAAGTTGTGAGGCAATTACTTGCTTCCGTCATGTTAACGCCTTGTCCTCACTGCATTGTCACTAGCTGTCGCATGCCACAGCGCTATTGTGGTTGTTGCCACACGAAAGCATATTTCCTGTCAAATGAAATTAGAGCATTTGCCTTTGTGCTTTGATTGCTGATGCTTGAGTTAATTTGCCGCAGCGCAACAATGTGCGTAACCGGTAGTAGGAAACACAGCACAAAGATGTCTTGCCTAAACTTTACCCCATTGCACTTAGTAAAAGTAGAATTCTGGGGGTAGATACTTACGGTTCGGGTGTGTGGTATGGTGAGTTGACGTGGCGCACATATTGTGTGCTCTGGAAGATGCGGAATGCCAACGAGGCGAGGAAATCGCGTGCGGTCAATAAACCGGCAGCGGGACGCAGTGTGAAACCGGTGTTGCGACGCAAGAAGTCAGACATCTCTTGCAATTGTGGCAGACGGTGTTCGACGAAGATCTGTTCATCGCGCAACTTCTGGAAAGCAGCACGATATTCCTGGCAAGCGTGTTTCTTCGACAAATCGACAACAGTCAAAAGCACCGAACGCCAAGTCTTAATCTCAACATCGGAGTATTCGATGTATGGGATTGGATCGCCATATTTGTAAGCGAAAGCGATTTCAGCGATCTCCTTACGACGTTGACGATAGACTTTATCAGCAAAACCAGGATGGTTCATATCCAAATCAGGTTCGTATTTGGTCATCAAATGATTGCAGTTATCCAACTCGGAGGCATGCTTGGGGAACCATGGTGCCTTGACACTGATGTTATGTTCGGCCAACAGACTGATGCTATAGAACGAGCCTGATTGACGTAGCGAGCGTACAAGTTGCAACAGATTGCCACGTGTCATATCGACTTTAATGAGCACATCGTGATCGACGCCTTGTTCGCGTGACACACGCGATTCGACATGTTGTACAGCACCCTTGAACGTTTCGATCGCCTTGAGTATGCGGCCAAGCGAAGAGATGCCCTCCTTGAGGCGTACGACGAGCGCAGCACTCTGCACGGCATTCTCCGCTTCAGTGGACTCAGCAGCGGCATTGGCAAGCAAAACTTCCTCTTCGGTAAGACCGGCATCTGTGCGTGCGAGAGCAAGTGAGAAACGTGCAAAGTTAGTAAAATATCTAGTTATGTGGTTGTATTTTATTTTTATTTTCAAGTTGGGTTTTATGCCAAATAAATCTGCTTGGCTTGCTAAGCACGCATTCTAAGCGGTTTGAATGGAACTGAAGTCGACTTAAGCATGAAATATGATGGCCAAATGCATTGCACTAGTAGGAAAAATTAGAAACCCCTTAGAAAGGGTGGCGGGGATAATTGGAATAAATGTTGGGTGAAAAATTGCAAATCGGCTTTTGTCACAATTTCTCCCCATTTTTTAGTAGTCATTGTTGGCGTGTAGTCAAGCGCGCAAGATTCGCCTTTTATCATCCTTAAATGCTCACAGTGACATAATAAAATCAACGCAATAAAAATAGCATCGACGGCAATGTATGTAATGGCGTTAGCAAAAGAAATGGAAATATTAAAAGGAAATGTGCGATTTTCACATTTGAAATGCTGTGCGTACGTGCTGCCATACAAGCGTATCCTTTACTTGAGTGTGTATGTGCGTGGCAAGCGTATTAAGTGGCATATGCTTCATCATCATCATAATGCGCTTGAAGGCACTTATGTGACGCTGACATTAACCCGCTACCGCGCGGCTTGCGTCGCGCTCAACTGTTGCTTACCATTTGCATTGTTGCTGTTGTTATTGCCCTCACCCTGAGCAGCAGCGCCCAACGAGGCGTTGGTGGTTTCGTTATGGGCTTCTGAGTTTTTCAAATGAAAATAAACGAAAATAAAACGAGAAAAAAATTATTAAAATCAAAATGAAAATGAGAAAAGAAAAGAAATATTGCACGATATAATGAAGTGGTGCAAAAATTAAAATTGCTATTATTTGCTGTTTAAGGTAGACTACCTGCTGGGATGTCATGTACTTCAGCTGGTATCTCCACATTTTCCACCGACTGTTCGGCTTGCAATTCAATTTCTTGCTCGATTGGAGTGCCTTTAGCTTGTTGAATGCATTGCTCCAGGGTAGTTTCGTCTAATTATTGAAAATTATAATAAAATAAAATTAAAAAAATTAAATAAAATATGTATTAAAATAAGTAAAAAAAAAAATGTTAATTAATTAATTTAAAAAAAAACTTCAGATGATAACAGAAGCACATTAAAATATTTAAGTACAAAAAAGTAAAAAAGAAAATTTTGTTTGCCTTTGCTTTGCAGTCCTAAAATGTTTAATGCAATTTTTTTTTCATATTTTGTCAACTAATTTCTTTTCAATTTAATTTTTTATTAAGTATTACGCTTAATTCTCCTCCCTTCTCACTTACCATTGGTCTTTTGGCGCGCTTCCTCCAGCACGGTTTGTTTGTTTTGCTTGACAACCAAGCTTTCAAAGCGCGCATCGTCCACCAACGAACGACGGCGTGATGGATAGCCATTCTGTAAGAGAGCAGATATTTTATGAATGATTTTTAGCTGTTGGGTGAAAAAGTTAATCAACTAAAATATTTAATTTTTTTTTTGTTTTTACCACCCTAATACCGTTAGTGACCAACCGGCAACCACCTGTCGGTTGTCTAATGCGTTGCCATTGGCTATAAAGCTTTTAAGCGCCTTTTTCACACAAATTACCGAGCAGCGTGGGCGTTTGATTGAGCGATTGTGGGTAGCCGGTTTAGGGGGTGGCAAATGCTTTAAGCACACTTAAGACCGTTAAGTATGTGTTTCGCTGAGTGTGTGTGTCAATAAAGTTGAAAAGAGGAGATGTGCAGGAAATTGGCGCATCAGCCACAGATTACAGTGGTTTGAATAAGAAAAATATATTTATACTTATTTTACGAAGGCTGAGGAGACAACGGAAATTGTTCGAGGCAGATTTGGGTTTGTTAAGAAATTTTAAAGAATTGAAGAAAAGTACTCAATGTTCGAATGCAAGTGTGCCAAAATGAAAGATGAAAATATTTTAATTTTCAAAAGTTTGTCTAGTTAAGATTATATATGTATATATATATACGAGCTCAGCTTTGTTTACTTTTACAAACAGCCGCGAGTTGTGGAATTTTTTCCACTATGTCTGCAAATCACTTGACACTTATGCAATGTGATTTACTTTCCTCTCATGCGCACACGCTCCGCGGACCGCTCTCCACCATAGCTCTATACCTTCCGACAATTATACATCAGTTAACATATTTTTGTAGCTTTTTGTTTTGGTATGACACAATTTAAACAAATAAAATTATGTGTGTACGTGTTTGCCTGCAGATGCTGTGTGGTCAGCAGAAAGGCAACAAGCACTAATTTCAACACAACAATAATAAACGGACAGACAAGGTAGCAGACGAGTCGCCACTGAACAAGCGATCATATTGTCGAGACTGACTGTTGGCCCAATACTCCACTGAACTGAAATGCGGTCCACACAGCGATGCGCTATGTGCGCGGCTGTTGTTGTTGCAGCCACGAGCATACATATGTGAAGCAGGTTACAAAATCTCAGCGCTTGTCTTTATCATTTGGAAGTTTGCTTACTGAAAACGAAAGTGGCGCTTTGTTTTGATTGCTGTGTTTTGGTTGTTGGTACAACACATTTTTTCGGTATATTTTCGAAAAGTCAGCTATATGGCGCACGTCAAAAGCGCTCATTGTGTGTTTTCGTATATTTTATCAGCAAACAAAAACAATAACAATAGCAATACGAGAGAAGCGCTTAAGCGCAGAAATTTGCCGGCTAAAAACTGGTTTATGAGCCAAAAGAAAACATAATATGGCCATATGAAAAAAGGGAAAAATAATTTGCATAGCATTAATGGTTAGTTTATTGTTTTGCTGCTGGTTTGCGCGTAAGTTCGCGACGAGCTTGCGCGCGCGTCACTCGTCTTTGCCCTTTGAGGCTAAATGATAAACGCGTTTAATAAAAAAATTAACTTATTCATTCAACTCAAAATGTGTACCATCATCGTTTTTGTTATTGTCATTTTTTTTTTTTTTTATTTGAAATATTGTGTGCACTTTCGTTCGAAATCTTAAATAACCGTATGCTTACAGGCAATGACACCAAATGAAGTCGTCAAATAGCGCGTTCGACACGTAAGCGCCTGACTTTAAGTAATATTTTGACAGCTTAAGGTGTTAAAGTCGCATAAATTTGCCGATCAATGAGTTGGAGAATCTATGCGAATGAGTTTGCGCCATTATTGGGGCATAATGGGATTTGCTGAATTGTGTTTGGTACGCATATAATATTAAAATTTTATTTTTCACGAGCTGGGATATAGGATAAACATATACGGTTATATATATTATAAGATCGTTTTTATGTGTTGACGGAGCAGCGTTTGTGGCAAGCAGGAAGTATCAGAGATTTTTAAAGAAGCAGAGAATAATATGCTTATATTCGTCACATACAAAGGGTTAAGTAAAATTTATGCGCTTTTCCTGCTGGCCATTAACCATTAGCCCTTTCTTATTCAATTTAAGTTTTCAACAATTTTTTTTTTCTGTTACAATGACCTTCGTGGACCACGCCAAATTTGAAAAAGCTGATAAAAGAGCGTCTAGTTTCCGAATCAGATAGTAAACGCGGATTTCAACACATTTAATGGATTTTTGTGTTGTCCACGGAAATTTGTTTAAATTTACATTTTTTAAGAAAAGTTGGGGTATGTACTCATAAGAAACCTAGCCGCGCAAGCGAACCCGCCAACTAATGCAATTTTTTGTCAACCAAATTTTTTCTTGTCGTTGCAAAACATTATCTTTGCGCTGACAGGTGCTTAATTGTGCCGGTAGTGTTATATGTTGTTGGCTCACTAGCGCATAATTTTCCCTTTTTCACCTGCGTTATTATCTTCAGCGCATCACTACAACTCAGCACTTCGAGTACACGCCCACTTTCACTCTTAACAGTTTATTTAAGCAGTTTGTTAAATAACTCTGCTGGCAATTTGTCAAGACTAACAGTTAAAGGTTGGACAGTGCGTTGACTGCGTTTGAAAATTTCGTATTCTAAATATATTTACAACAAATGTTTGCACTATATTTGCTAATTAAAAATGGGTTTGTTTGGCATTTGTCACGTAGTCCAAATTGTCTACCTATATGCTTACATATATATGTATGTATTGTATATGTGTGTGGTTGAAAACTACGCAACAAGCAAGTTTTGCACTAATTTTGGAAATTTTAGGAGAATTTTCGAAATTCGAAATATTAGCTGTGACAGCAAGATATGATTGTAAGAGGAAAATATAAAATTAATTGTTTTGAATGATAATTTCAGTTAAAAATAATATATTTAGTAATGCAATAAACGCTTGCCATTTTGACGTAAAATGTAATTAAAAATTTAAAAAATCAGCAGTTTTGACGCCACTGAATCTGCCACTTTTCTCGAAAATAGACAACAAATTTAAAGTTAATTATTCACTTGTAATTAGCTTAATGACAAAAACTTGGTTTTTAAAATCAATGAGTTCTTTTTTTGAAATTTTTTTTTATTTTCATATGTATTTTCTAACTAAACAATTTGAATTAAAAATCGCTATCCAATTTTATACGCAGTGCATATCGTTCTGTAAGTTTTATATTTGGAAATATTTATTTTTTTTTTTTAACGATAAACTTTAAATTTGACGAATGGAAATGAAAACAAAAAATATTGAAACTTTAAATCAACGAAAAACAACTTTTTGGCAATATTGTACCTTTTATATTCAACTTTTGTTACAAAAAACACTTGTATTCAAAATTTTTCGAAATTTAATATTAACGCATTTTTAATTTCAACTCACCTCAATACTGTAGGATTTTTTGATAGCGAACATTTCGCGGTTCTTTTGTGCAGCAGCTACGGCCATCATTTTGTTAGTTTTTGTTTTTTATAAATATACGGATACGAAGAGAATTCAAAATTTAACGCAAAGTGCAATTTATGACACTTGTCTTTATATATATTTGCGTTTTTGAGTTTTTATTTGGCAACTGTTGTCAGAAATAAGCCTACGAAATGCACTTTCACTGCTTATTTTACAATAACAAAAAAATGTTCTTGCCAATTTTCTGTTAATCAACTTTGAAGTAGTTTGCTTGAACGGTGTTTGCGTCTAAACAGCTCCAGAAATCACACTTGTTTTTGTTTTTGTATGTACGTAAAACACAGGATCTTTAACTTGTAGAACTTCCAGTTATCGAAACTTTTCAAATACTTATGAACTTTTCGATTTAGCTTGCTTTAACTTTAATATCCTTCGATTTGTAATTATTTTACTCGCAGGCAGAAAAGCTAATTATTATTTTATTACAACAAACACAACGTTTTAAATATATATTTAACAAACTACTTAACTTCTTAACCAAAGTGGCAAGTCTTAAGAGCGAATGATAGCGAATCAATGCATGCTTGGTGTCCGGCGGCGTTCGCTTAAATACCCTCAAAACGTATCGTATGAAACGATAAAAGAGCCGCTGAGCCGAAGCTCGACCACAGCGTCGTTGCTCTTGGGGTGGCAAGCGAACTTGAGCCCGTCTGTGTGTGTGTGCGTTTGTGTGTCCGCACACACGGGGTGGGGGATATGTGTGGTGAGCGTGCAGACGAGCGTTCAAGCGGCCGCTCGAAAATCCGCTACAGGTTTCGGTTGTATTGCATGTGTTGTTGCTGCTATTTTTGCTCCCATTAACAGGTGATGAAGACGTCATCAGCGCGACAATCACTGCGCAGCATCAGCCACACAGCAGTAAATGCTCACTATACGCGCGCTCTCTCAGCAAAAACAACAGCAAACACACCTCACTGAATATGAATGACTTGGATGGTGGTCATGCTCGTGGGGTTCCCTCACGTTTGCGCAGCACACCAAGTTCAAGTTCCAGAGCGTATTCGATTGAATGCCCGCTCATACTTGTACGCTCACCGAAAAACGATGCTGACGTTAATCGAAGTATTGGAATCACCCGGCGTTGTGTTATTTGTTTGTGTTGTTGCTGTTGCGGCGGCTGGTGTGATTTTTGTTTGGTCCACCAGACGAACAGCGCGATCGAGTGCCAAATTGAGCTGGTTTAGCTTGCGCACGTCATCGCGAGCCGCGGCGACGCGTCATTACCACACCGTTCTCGATGTGGCCTTTTAAGAACGTGTGTATGTGTGTGCCGTATACATATCACCGACATACGCACCTGTAAGTTATATTTGTTTATTGTTTTTTGTTTATTTGCCACGAGTGTTTCAGGTCATCCTTTCCGAGAAATTCCACTGTTATTTTCTACATCAGTCGGGGAATTTTCCCACACTCAAACTGCAATGGTCCAAATGACGTGAAGAGTTCACAAAAATATACTCTGCTATTGTTAGGTTACCACTAGTTACATTTTAGTAGCATAGCTAATACTCTACATATGACCATTAAATAATATCGACTAGAAAATATTGAAAGATACAGAATTGAAAAATTGTTTAATTGATAACTTAAAAAAAAAAAATGATGACCAATTCTTCTTGAAAATACATTAGTGATAAATTTTGCTTCGAGCAAAGTCTCCGCCTAGCCCAAAAGAGGCAATAGTTTGAGAAGAATACTAGTAGATCCGTAGTAGTAGTATATATATTATAATAAACTATTCGATAGAGTGAAAATATTATTTGCATTATATCACATAACATCTTATTTATTTATTATTATTTTTTTTTTTTTGAATTTAGAACCCTTTCTTCAGTTTAGAAATAAACTTTTTTATTTTTGAATTGTTTTTACTTTTAACAAAACTGAGATATTAACTACCATATCATTCATGTTGGATGAAACCGCACACATTGTGATAAATTTTACTAAAATCGGTTCAGTAGCCTAGAAGTTTACCCCGGACAAAACGTGACACGTAATATTTATATGTATAGATGTAAAAAAAACCTACCAGAAATTGGCATTGATTTAAATTTTGATTAAAAAAATTAGATACGTAGAATCTAACCCAATTATGAAAGCACAACTATCGCGAATATTCTATTGTACATATGCTAAGAAATGTTACTCATTTGGTGTGATCGCGCTTCACACAATCTCCACCTTTGCTTCGAAACAATTAATTTGAGTAATGTACCCTATTTAAAAAGCCCGCAAGACGCATTAATAGCAAAAAACATGGCGCAATTCGTGAATTTCTGTTGAGTAACCATGTAATGAAATTGAGTGATGGTATATCTTTGAAAAATTTGTACAAATGAAAATGATTTGCGGGTGATGTGTGTCGCTTTTGTGAACTTCGATCAAAGGTACAGTGGTTCAAAGGACCATCTTGCACTGATTAAACGCAATAAGAACGAGTTTCTGTACGAACTTTTGTCAATGAAGGATGGATTGAACATTATACACCTGTGTTCAATCGGCAGTCCACAGAATGTTTCTGTCCGTTGAAATCAAAAGCCCGAAAACTCAACAATATAACTACAATCGGGCAAAATTTTAGCTAATATTTTTTAAAATTCGCATCGAATTTTTGCATGATAAGCCAATCAATAGACATCACTGTGTTCTATTGATTCGACTGGGTATTGACTACAAAGTTACTACATTTTTATCGCCTTTCTCTCACACTGAGGATTGCATTGTAGAAATTATATGTTCAGAAAGATTATCTGCAGTTCTCTGCAGGAATGATAGAGATAGAGATTATAAATGTTTAGTTCCGTTACATTGTTTGGAAAGAAGTTGACAGATAAATCCATTAGGAAAGAACTTTATTTACAAACAGTTTGACAGTCTGTTTCATTTGTGATAGTGTGTCACAATCTTGGAAGGATGTTAGTCGTTTCAGAAACTGTTTAAAGCGAATCCGAGTTTTTTATGAAGTCACGATCAATTTATCTTTCCTCACAATAAATCAAACTATCTTTATAACAATTTATACCTGCATAATCATATACATACCCACATCTATGTATATGCAAAGGCAAATTGAAAGAGTAAGAAACATCAAATGTTGCTTAAACCACAGGCGGTATTGACATGAAAGTTTGAACGCCCAAAGATTTGAAGAGATTTTTGAGGAACAACACACAGACACACCTATATACAAAACAAAACTACGAATATGAAACCCATCAAATTGCCGAAAAGCTATGTTTAGCATTTGCGCAAATTGACGTTAACCAATTTTTAATTAATCAAAACAAAGAAAATTGCGAAACATATTTATAACTAATTATGTACCACAATAAACAAACAGAACTCTGCTAAAAATAGTTCTAAGTTCCTTTTCCTTGTTGATATCCAAGAATTCGCTTCGATTTGCAGGTAGCATTGTCTTGCTGACAGCCAATGTAAGTGGAAATCCGGCAACTACAAGTACTCACATACAAGTACATATGTACATACATATAAATAACTCAATCATAGTCAATTGTTGTACAAGCGAACAACAGGTCTTTCATATTTATGCCTAAGTGAGTGGGGTTCTCGTGTTAGCTTATCTTATTGTTATGAGCATAACAAAGAATAGCAATAGGATTTAGAAACATAAGTGCATTAGACAACTTTCAAAAGAATTTTATTCAGGGAATTTCGTTTGGGCCATAGTTTATTGCCTTTTCCACTCACTGGGCTAACATGCAGCAAGTTCACGGACTTTACTACTCAATTAAAATAAAATTATTGGAGACTAATTGAAATGCCAATATGTCGTCTACTAAACAGCCGCATAGCTTACAATTGCAATGTATAATTTACTAAAACTGAAAGTAGAAAAACTTAATAGCAACCTTGTCATTAGCGTCTCACTAGAAAGGCTTATTAGTCAATGAAATTATGTTAGCAATCAACTCATAAATCAGTTGACCTGTCTAAATGTCATTATACACTCTCGCAAAATATTGCACCTTGTCTAAAACAGCGAAAAATAATTGCGATAGATGTACTGTTATATGCATACAAGTATATCACAGTGTTTGGAATGAAGGAACATATATAGTCATGACTATCCGTGCGTTTCTCTATATGCCTATGTAAACGATAACATACAAGTATAATATATTAGTAGAAGTCATTAATACTCATCCCAATCCTTACTAAGTCCTTGTTTGTTTTTTAATTTACATATTTTTGGATTAATGTAAGTAAGAAACCACCTGGAATAAAGTTCTCTCACTCTACCATGTCCTCTCTGAACCACCCTGTGATTTTAATGAAGTTCATCAATTCGAGACGTTTTGTATTTACGACTTTCACCAGAAAAGCTGCGACCGATAGTTGCAACAGTGACCTGTTAGCGCTTCTACTACGGTTCGTATATTTCTTTTCAATTTCCATAATCGACTTGTGCGGTCCATATACCATTTATAACGTAGCATGAATCTGGGTCTGCTTGTTGAACAAGTCAGGGATTGTTTCCACCGAGACTCAGCTATATCAACAACATGTTTTAACGATTAAATAACTACAAGTAGTCAGGAGCATATACCTTCTATTTTCACTGTAGGTTTGTTGTGAAATAGGATGTTAGTTCCACTAATAGATTAGGACATTATTTGACTATCGTTGATGAAACCTTAAAAGACTTTAGTGATCTCAAAGCCGCATGACTTTCTGTGAATATAAATATATTTCTTAATTTAAGCATCCTCTTTGTTATATAAGCCAAAAATGCAGAGAACATAAAATATAGATTATCACAGTTCTACTTTCTAAGCACAGTTCTACAAACTTCATGAAAAGAAATTTTCTAATACCGTTCCGATATTCAATGAAGGAATTCTGAGTGTTGCCTGCAAAAAATACTACGCCGGCAGCTGTTTGGAAGCGGCTTAAAATTTGTAGCAATATCCATTAATCGAATCGAAAAAAATTAAAAAATTTAACGAATAACTATCAACTAACGAATAGAATCCTTTTATCCATGGTTTTCGACTATAATTTTGAAATATTGAAATATAGACGAGATTTAGTACTGATAATTTTATTTAACCATAAATGTAATAGTATCGAATCGAGAATTTAATCAAGTAAGAAAGTACGTAAGTAAAAAATTTAACCCTAAAATTTTTGTTTTGGTAAATATAAACTCGATAACACGTTTTGTTGACTAAAACATATTTTTCGCTTGACATTTTTGAATAATCATTAAGTAGTTTTTGAAAATATAATATTTAAATATACATGTGCTCTTCGATCTGACATTATGATAAGCTCATATGAAAATTTTGCTTTTATATTTTGGACCCAATCCCAACTTTATTTAGTGTTTTTAAGTGTGACAAAACATGTCAAAAAATTTTAAAATAAACAAATTTTATTTAACAAAAAACAAAAACATCACATAACAAACAAACAAAACATCATTTTGTAATATTTTATAGCATAGATGCTCTCAATATTCTTTGCCATGACGCTGGTGACTGACGCTGGATATGGCTTGATGAGTCATATGAGAGTCTAGC